AACCCCAGCACTCTGGGGAGATCCAGAGATATTTAGGACTTAACAAATTGATTGAAATCATCACTCAGGATATTTTGGATGGCAAGACCCAAATCTCTTGTCACTGCACTGCACAGAGGTTGATTTTCAATTTACCTTCTTTGTTCTGAATCTTAGATGTTTCAATTCTTAATTCAGAACATTCATCTCAAGTGGATTCAGGGATTCAAATTCTATGATAAATTCATGTTTGTGGAGAAGTTCCGGAGGGGGGAGGAAGATGTTGTCAACTGAGATTTTGAATAATGTCTTGTTTGACTTTTTAAGCTCAAAGTGGGGTGAACTACAGATCAACACATAGATGCATGATGTGACAGGGAGATGCAGCATGTGTATAAATAGACTGTGTACATAGGAAAACAAAAAAAGAAAAAAAACCTGGAAGAGGAAGGAGCAGAGAAGCACAGGCAAAGGGGCTTGTAAAGAAGGGATCTTATTCCATCGCCTTCACTTCTCCTGGGGGCAGAGGTGGGAACCGCAGGAAGGGAAGTGTCGGATTTGATATTTACTGTGTTTAGGCTTTAATGCTGGGTAATATGAACATGCACACACTCATGTGACTCCCGTTTTGCACATAGAGAAACTGAGTCACAGAGAAGCTAAGTTCTCTGCCTAAGGTTATTTAAATGGAAGAATCCTAATTCCAACTCAGCTCTGTTTTATTCTGAATCCCATCCTCTTAACTGTTCTACTTGATTTGTTTTTCTTGGTTTGCTTTCCCTCTTCTCTAGAACTTAATACTATAATGACGTCTCTTTTTTTTTTTTTTGGAGAGGTTTTCGCTATAGGGCGCATGTGCTCGCCAGACAGAGAGAGACATAGAGACAGAAAGCGAGAAATCACCCCCCAGGGGGATGGTCACGCTGTAATCCCTTCTCCTCCATTCTCCTCTCGGGATCTTGGGCACACACGCACACGCGCCCGGCGTGAGTTTTAAGCCACCGGGTCTGTGACGCGAACCGCGGTTGACTACGTGGGAGTCCAGCAACATAGCCATTACGCTAACTGCTGGTTCCCATGATGTCTCTTTTTAAAATAACTGGTTGACAGTGGTTTGAGTTCCAGACCTGGCAGTTTAAAACTCAAGCTGGGCATGTGTGTATGCATACCCAAAACACTGAGAGAAGAATGGAGGAGAAGGGATTGTGGCATGACCATCACCCCTGGGGGTGATTTCTCTCTCTCTCTCTCTCTCTCTCTCTCTTTCTCTCTGGCTAGTGCATGCACTCTATAGCAAAAGTCTCTCATAAATAAATAAGTAACCAATAGTTTAAGATGTGCTGCATTTTTTTCTTTCTTTTCATGCAATTTTAAAATGATTCTAGTTGTCAGTCCTTCACTCCATTCCTTCTTCAAATGCTTACTAAGTACAAGGAAGGAGCCAAGCCCTGGAGGTACTGAAACTGGGTATTGGGTAGTGCCACTCAGAGTGTGACCCACAGAGAAACAGAACCAAAGGGTGCTTGTATGTAGAAGTGTGTGTGTATTCCAGTATGTTTGCAGTAGGAGTTGGCTTCCACGATTTAGGGGCTGAGAAGTCCCACGTTCTGTAGAGTGCGTAAGGGAGCTGGAGAGCCATGAGAGATGGCTTTCTGTTTAACAGCAACTCTTCCTACCCATAACATCACTCATACTTGTGGACAGGGATTGCAGGAACTCATACCAAGGGCCTCCCGAAGAGAGGCAGAGTGCTTTGTAGGATCTTACCTAACCCTCCTATCGCTCTTAGAAGGTTAGCACTATGTTCCCATTTCACAGTCGAGAAAAGGGAAGCTCAGAACATTTCTGTGACCCCTCCAAAGGACCCACTCACAGGTGTCACTTGTTTTTTCTTTTCTTCTTTTTTTTTTTTTGGAGAGGTTTTTGCTATAGGGTTTTTGCATTCACCAGAAAGACAGAGACAGAGAGACAGAAAGTGAGAAATCACTCCCTGGGGGGATGGCCACACCACAATCCCTTCTCCTCCATTCTCCTCTTGGGATCATGGGCACGCACGAACGCACGCACACATGCCTGGTGAGTTTAAGCCACCAGGTCCGGGACTCGAACCATGGTCAACTACGTGGGAGTCCAGCGACACAGCCATTACGTCAACTGCTGGTCCCTGTTGTTCATTTTCATGCTGAGTTTTCAGAGCTTCTTGGGTTTCTGCCTAGATGCTTCTGAATCATTTCATGGGAATGAAGACTACTTCCAGCCTCAGAGTATCCATACCTCGAACTTAGCCCATAAATGCAAGAGCATGGTAGAGACCGCAGTCACAGAGACCTCGTTTTCCTCCCATCTGCTTCAAAATAATTGGAGAGGTTTTTGCTATAGGGTTTTTGCATTCACCAGAAAGACAGAGACAGAGAGACAGAAAGTGAGAAATCACTCCCTGGGGGGATGGCCACACCACAATCCCTTCTCCTCCATTCTCCTCTTGGGATCATGGGCACGCACGAACGCACGCACACATGCCTGGTGAGTTTAAGCCACCAGGTCCGGGACTCGAACCATGGTCAACTACGTGGGAGTCCAGCGACACAGCCATTACGTCAACTGCTGGTCCCTGTTGTTCATTTTCATGCTGAGTTTTCAGAGCTTCTTGGGTTTCTGCCTAGATGCTTCTGAATCATTTCATGGGAATGAAGACTACTTCCAGCCTCAGAGTATCCATACCTCGAACTTAGCCCATAAATGCAAGAGCATGGTAGAGACCGCAGTCACAGAGACCTCGTTTTCCTCCCATCTGCTTCAAAATAATTAGAACACACTTTAAACCCACAGAGTTTCGGTTTCCTCATCTGGAACGGAGATCACTGCTGCCTTGTGCTGTGATGACAACGTCCCAGCAATGCACAGATTCTTAACAGGCACCCCGTACAGCGTCTGCCCACAGGTGGGAGTAAGAGCCTCTCTTTCTCAGCTCTGCTTGAAGAGCCGATGTTCACTGGGAAACACAGTTGCTCTTAACTGCTTATTATTCGTGTTCCTTCATTCTCAGTGGACCTAATTTGGTTTCACCAAACAGGGAGGTAGGTTTGAAAAGCGTGGGTAGCACCTTGTAATTGGCCAGCTCAATGCAGTTGTAATCAACCTGTGATTTTTATGTCCCCTATGGGTTCTGCCTTGTCCTTTGATTTGTGGCCCTGGGCAGTGGAATTCAGTGAGTCCTATTTATTGCATTGATAGGAGAGGGCCGGGAGCTTAGGTGTTTAACCCTGAGGTGATTAAGAGGGAAAAAAAGGAGTTGTATTTGTTCAGGTCCAAAGATACATCAAAAAGCACTGGGCAGAGGCCGACGCAGCACTGGCAGCCCAAGTGAAACATGCAGGGTAGAATTCATCGCATCCTTTGATCCTCAAGTTTTGTGAGTCACAGAGACTCTCTGGGACAGTTTGGAAGCTCAGTGGGGTCTGAGTAGGAAGGAGAAAAACTCAAAGTATGGAGAAAGAGGAGTGTGTTTTTTGACAGGCAGCTGAGATAAGGTCATTTTCTAGAGATGTGATGTTTTTGCTTGGTAGCTTCTGAGACAGCTGCAGAGCGTAGCTAGAGCCTGGGATTTTTGCAGAGATGGAACAAAGAGAAGTGACAGCTACGAGTAGTCTTGTGTTGTAGGGGCTCTTCCACCAGCAGCATGGATTGAGCGCCCAGTGTGTACAAGGTGGTATGCTAAATATCCTTGGGAGATGGGGGAATGTATATTAATAGGCTATTCAGAGGCTAAAGATTGTATTACCGAAGTTCATGTAAGTGGAGAATGCCGGGCTTACACCCAAGAAAGACCGGGGTCTGCGTGACTCAGAGGGACCAGCCCATAGTGCCTTAGTTTCTTTTGCAGCATGGTAGGGTTCTGTGGGCAAGTTACTAACACTCAGTTTAATGATAACTGTTTCTCTGGTACAACCTTCAGATTGGTCATACTCTTCCATTCTTCTTCCGTGTTGTCTGTCATCGTTTTATGCTCAACATTGATACCTGTGTCCACCCTTCCAGCACTTACTTACCTCAAAGACAAGTAAGATGGTGCCTTACCCCCAGTGAACTTTTTTTTAAGTTAAATTTATTTATTTATTTATTTGTTTGTTTGTTTATTCATTCATCTATCTATCTATCTATGTATTTCTTACATGGGGAGGGAGAGAAACAGAAACAGAGATAGCAGGGTCTTGATTCCACAATCTACCCCAGCTTCAGCCAGCCCTGCATCGTGGGCATAATTGTACTCTACATACTCGGAGAGGTTTCCAGACGTGAACTTGGAACCCTCCCATGTGGGTCAGCCCTCCCAGAGCATCATGTTTCACTGTGGCACTGCCATCTGTCCCCTCTTCACTGGACTTCTTCATGGGAAACATTTAGTAAAACAGGTTACCATATTCAGTGTACCATACATGTTTCTGTAGTGTTGTATACAAATTACTGTTGGGAAAAGGTATTTTGCCTGCAAATGGAGGAAGGCTTCACCTGGGAGGTGATGCTTTCAAATAGGGTTTTGAAGGATGAATAAGAGTTTACATAGAAAGAGTTTAATAAAGCTGTCATTCTTATTGTACTTTTCTTCTCTGTAGTATATCTCTTCTTCTGTTGTTCTCGTATACTTCCATACTCGATTTCCTTTCCCTTCTTCCCCATCTCCTCCCATTTCATGTTCATAATACTTAACTGTTAGGAATGTCTACCTAGAAACATGCCCAGTAGGGAGAGGAAGACAGGCATTTAATTAGGAACAATTATATTATGATTGTCTTGTCTAAACAGCATATTGGTTTTATTGCTATAATAACTCATTCTGTTCTCCACATCGTTCCCAGTTCAATCGGAATATGCATTCATTTGTAACTTATTTTCAATCTGTTTTCCCTTAAAAATGGGATTATAGAAGGAGCCTGGCTATGTAGTCATGGGTGTCTGGGGTACCTAGGAGAACTCTGGGTGTAGTTCGTTCCTTAACTCTTCTCTGGTCTTTCGCCCCGCAGATGGGAAGCCAGTGTCTCTGTCTCCGCTTGAGGCCCAGGAGCACAGCCCCCGGTACACCGCCTCCAGCCAGCGGGAGCGGGAGAGCCTGGAGGTGCGCATGCGTGAGGTGGAGGAGGAGAACCGCGCGCTCCGCAGGCAGCTCAGCCTGGCCCAGGGTCGGGCCCCAGCCCATCGTCGCGGCAACAACTCCAAGACCTACTCCATGGAGGAGGGTACTGGAGACAGCGAGAACCTTCGGGCAGGCATCGTGGCAGGCAACAGCTCTGAATGTGGGCAGCAGCCGGTCGTGGAGAAGTGCGAGGTAAAGAGTGCTGGGAGCGGGGATGCGGCCATTGGGAGGCCCAGCGCCCCCTTCTCCTGCTGATGCCTCTGGAGGCACAGCCAGGGGCCTGGAAGAAGCCAGCATTCTTGACTCAGGGCGGGTGTGAATATGGTTCTCACTTTGCCAAAAGGCCTGGCAAGTCCCTGGCAAGTCCTTAGCCAATCTGAGCCTCAGTTTCCCCTTCTGAAAAATGACCATAAGAAAGTTTATGCTATGGAGATATTAAGAGGACCCAACTGATAGAACCTCCCTCTTTTTTTTTTTTTTCCTCTATCTATTTTGATATGCCCAGGGTGTCTACTCCTAGGTCTCATCCTGGTGTGTGTGTGTGTGGGGGTGCTGTTACTTATAGTGGAAAGGGGGTAACTAGAGATGTGAACCTTGTCCTCACTATAATTCAGGACCAGACACTTGCTGCTCATCTAAAGTACCCGGTTGAACTTTGGTGAACTCACATCATTTCCCCAATGTTAGAGTTTGTTTCCTTTCATAGTTACTCTTTCAAAAGTTTGGAATACTTACACTTCTCCATGACCTCTGGCACCCTCAAATTCCCGCATTCATGCTTCTGTGTGGACGGAAATACACGCGTGTGTGTGCTCCTTTCCCGTTCTCCCAGTTCTCCTGGTGGGGAGGAATCGGAGCATGCCTGTTGTGAGCAGGGCTGTTTGAGACACAGACGAGCCTGAATTCATACTTCAGCTTTGGTACTTTCTGCTGTGAGCACTTGAGCAAACCATCTAACCTCTCTGAAGTTCAGGTGTCTCTTTATAGTAAGCTCCTGAAAATTACACCTGCCTCATGAAGTATTCGTGAAAATGAAGTGGTATGGCTATATAAAGCCACGAATAATGCCTAGGAAACAGTATGTTGTTAATTATGGGTATTTTTTTAAAATTATTTTTAGTTAAGTAAAGGTATAATCTGCTGTTTCTTCTATCTCATGGAATAAAGACTGTTAGATCTCAAACTACCTGAAAAGATAACACTTTGCAAGCTATAGTAAACTCTTCATGTGTGTGGGATTATTAATAATATTGATGATCCTGCCTGATACATCACCAGGGATTGTAGTAGAGTTTACTCAGTGGCAGAGGAAGTTCATCAGTGAAGGAAGAGAATTCGCACTGGAACAGACAAGGGGGCCCTGAGGATTTCTCAATCCAGGTTGAAGTAAGGATTGGCAGAGGAATAGCGGACGACTAGGAAAAATGTGAGACACGTGTAATGTCATAACTGGGAAGAATTCAGGACATCACAAATTGGTCGTTCAGGCAAGCCCAGAACCTGAGTGGGGAAATGCCACTCCAACATCATCATTCATTCATTTAACAAGGATTTATTGCATTCACGTACATAGCCCATACTGCTCTATATACTAACAAGTAGCAGTGGACACAAAAAAGACAAAGCTTCCTTATTTCTGGTTCTTCTATTCTGTGGTGGGGGGGGGAAGATGATAAAGAAATGCAAATGTTGGGCTCAGTAAGTGTGGCATGTTTATTCAGCCCTGATGATCTGTCAGGCTCTCTCTCCTTTAATCTTTGCCAATGGTTGTCAGTGCCTTATATTAATATATATATTTTCTATCTAAGAAAGTGGGGACACGGCAGTGTTTAAAAATTCGTCAGGTCTAGGCTGGCCTGAGGAGGGTGCTAATGTTGGGACTTCTAATCTTGCCTGAGTGAAGGCTTGTTTGATTTCTTGCAGGATTTCTGTTCTAGTCACAGTTACAGTGTTAGTTTGAATGGAAGCCCTACTAACTAGGTGGGATGGCCCAGAGTGAGGATATTTTTCCCCCTCCAATGCATTTACATTATTATGACTCAAGCTTATCTGAAGAACTAAGAATCAAAGAGGTGAAAAATAGAAGAGGAAAAACAAAAAAAAGCACAAGTGTGACAGAGGGAGAAAACAGCAGAGGGAGTGTACTTACTGGAAGATTGCTCTTCCTGCTCCTTTCTGTCTAGCCAGCGACTTCCCTCTGCACAATTTCCCGGGTAGTACGCAGTTTTCTGATTTGAAAGTAGGCTTCTGCTTGGAATCCTCTGCAAAATATGGCAGATAAAAGACCATTGTGTTTTGAAACTGGGAGTCTGGAGTGCAAACCCTGGCTCCATTCCTAGCTTAATAGCTATGTGGCATTGAGCAAGTGAGATCACTATTTTTTTCTTCTTTTATCTTTTTGCCTCAGCTTCCCCATTTCAGTGGTCACAATGAATTTTAGAACTCAAGGAAAACTTTAAGGTAGCTGTATTAGCCTGGGATTGTACTGAGTTACCAAAAAACAAACAAACAAAAAAATAAAACATCAACCAATAATGATTTAAAGGAGATTTGTTATCTTATTTCTCTTTAAGATGTCTGGAGAGCATTGGTGTAGGGATGTCAAAATTGAAGTTGTCTTTTGTCCCAGTTTGCCTGATTGACATTGCCAAGGTCATCTCATGGTCCACCATGACTGCTGGACAGCTCACCTTGTCTGCATCTTATCTGGCAGGAAAGAAGCGGCATTAAGGCAGGACATATCCTCTGCCTTTAAGAATAATCTTAGAAATTTCACATATGGGAACCAGCAGTTAGCGTAATGGCTATGTCGCTGGACTCCCACATAGTCAGCCGCGGTTCGAGTCCCGGATCTGGTGGCTTAAACTCACGCTGGGCGCATGTGCGTGTGTGCCCAAGATCCCAAGAGGAGAATGCAGGAGAAGGGATTGCCATGCGACCATCCCTCCTGGGGGGTGATTTCTCGCTTTCTGTCTCTCTCTGTCTGTCTGGCGAGCACATGCGCCCTATAGCAAAAACCTCTCAAAAAGAAAAAACAAAAACAGAAGAAAAAAAAAGAAATTTCACATCTGAGTTCCTTTGAGATCTCATTGGTAGAACCTAATTACAAGGCTTAGCTGCCATCTAACTGCAAGGGAACCTAGTAATGTATTTTCTACTAAAATGTGGAGTTCCAGCACTCACCGTGAACTATCTCTGTTAATTGGGTGATTACCAGACTTAGTTGTAAAAAGTTAAATATCAAAGATGCACATCCATAGGACCCAACCCCCAACCCAGACCTAATGATTGAGAATCTCTTGGAGTAGGTCTCAGACTATGGGTATTAAAAAAGAAATAGTAAAAATCTAACCAGGTGATCTTGAGTTAAGAGGGACTGTTTAAAAACCACTGATTTAAGGCACAACACATATGTGTGATTCAATTCTCTTTATCCCTGTGCTCTTGAAAAGATAAAGTACCAATGTAGGAAGTCAGATCTTGAACTTGGTGATTTTACTATAACTTACTATCTATTTTTTTTATTTGTGCCTGAGAACTAGGTTTTATTCATTTGGTTTTTTTAACTCTTCTCTGTATTTCTTGATTATGTTACTTCTTAGACCTTTAAAAGATTATTTTTGGTAGAATTCTTCTGTGATAATCCTGTGATCCTATTTAGAGGTCTCACGGATGGATTTGAAAATCTTGGTCTGCTACCATTTATTTGAAGGTGTCTACTGTTGTGTTGATGCACCCTTACCTTGACGTGGTGGCTTCATCCCCATTAGCGGTATATTTCTCCTGTCTCCATCACTTGGTGTCTAAAGATTTTCATGAAAAAGCCATAGAGGCACACTTGAAACATTAGTCAATGGAGTCAAAATAGAAGCCTCCCTTTATCTCAGCACTTTTTCATTTCTCACTGCTGAAGCTAGTCCTGACGTCCTGTCAGAGTGCAGGGCCACATAACCAGGACTGGTGCCATCCGCTGTAGACACATTGCAATTTCTCTGGGGTATGACAAGTATTTCTAAAATTCTTCTGTAATGATGCCCAGGCTGTCAGCTGAGATGTGTGGTGATGGAAACAACAGCCCTCGTCAGTCCCTGTGCCCTCTCATCATTTCCTAATTATGTGTCATCCAAGTAGGCACTCATTTTATTCTTGCATATTTCTGCTGCCTAGGCAGCGTGGCTTCTGTGAGCCTCAGAACCGGGAGTGGCACGATCTTCCTTATCTTCACTCATACCTGAGTGTGGATGGATTTGTGTTTTTCTTGCCTTTTTAGTTCTGGTCTTTTCTGGGGTTAGCTGTGGTACAGCAGAAAAAAGGGACCCGGAGCGAAAACTAACCAGGAATTGTTCCTTTCCCACCTCCTAGTCATGCGACCGTACACAATTCAATCACTCTCTTGGAGTCAATTTTATCATTATAGACCAAGAATCCTGACAGGGTCTTCCCAATACAGTTGTGAGGATGAAATGAGATGATGGGAAGCTAGCTCTGTGTGAGTGCCACATATTATTACAGTAGATATGCCAGTTCCATATTGCTGCCTGACAACTCACCTGACACTTCATGGTTTCAAACAGTACCAGTCATTTTATTTGCATTCACGGTTTCTCTGGGTCAGGGATTTGGTAAGGGCTTAGTTAAGTGGTTCTGGTTTGGAGTCTTCATACTGTTGATACTAAACCTTGTCTGGAGCTGGAGCAGGGGGTGCTAACCCAACATCTCTCTTCTGTCTTGTGGACTTCCAGTGTAGTTTCCTGCATGAGCTAGTTTGGGCTTCCTCACTGCATGGCGGTTCTGGGCAGTCAGCTGCCGTGTAAGCAGCTGGAGGTTTAAACACAAGTATTCCAGTAAGCATGGCAGAATGGAAGTCTTTTTTATGGCTTGGCCTCAGAAGTCACATAGTATTCCTTCCAATACTGTAAACTAATATTCTATTAGTTGAAAAGGTCGTAAAAGCCTATACACTTTTAAGGGAGAAGTGACACACACACACTATCTTTCAATGAGAGTAATGCCAACAAATTACCAGATATGCTTTAAAACTGCCACATTGGCCATTGTTATTATGGAAAATAGGTGAATGGTACCCACAGACCACCCCTTAAACAAATATCTTTCTTTCCTTCTACTCCTTGCTTCACTTCTCAGTAGTAATGTAGTAGTTAAAAGATAGCATTTACCTAGTCTTTGAAATA